GCAGGTGCCTGCCCACTGCTGGGTGAAGCTTGGTCCTGGACCTCTGGTGAGGAGGGCTGTGTCTAGAGGCCTTTGTGGCTTAGGGAGTCTGATGATGGGTGTGGCTGTGTTCCCACCCTGTATGTTATTTGGCCTGAGACTTCCCTACAGGCTGTTGGCTGGGGCTAGGTCTTTGTGCTAATTATCCAATCAAGATGTCAGCCTCCAGGAAAGCTCGTGTAGATTAACATTCCCGGAATGTCCACCACCAGCTTTTATGTCCCCTGGATGAGCCACAGCCATCCTTCACGTCCTCAGGAGACCCTCCAAATCCAGCAGGCAGATATGGCCCAGGTTCCAATGAAATCATTCCCTCTGCCCTTGGACCTGATGCACGTGTTTCTGTGTACGCTTCCCAAGCAAATGGAGCCTCTGTTTCCCCAAGTCCTGTGAGACTCCCAGAGCCAAGCTGCTCTGGCCTTCAAAACCAGATGTCCTGGGGTCTCCTTCTCTTCCCAATGCCAGAACCTGGGCTGGGGAGCCTGATGTGGGGCTCAGAGCTCTCCTGTGGGAGAGCCTCTGTGACTTAAGTATTCTTCAGCTTGTGGGTCACCCACCTGGAGGGTATGGGGCCCACCCAGTGGGTATGGGGCCCAGTTATGTCGCTAGCATGCCCCTCCTACCGTCCTGCTGTGGTTGCCTCTTTATGTTTCCAGTTGCAGAAGATCCTTTTTGCTAGGTTCCAGTCTTTTTTTGATGGTTGTTTAGCATTCAGTTGTGGTTTCGTTGTAGTTGCAAGGAGAGGCAAGCTCGTGGTCCTACCACTCCGCCATCTTGACGGGAACTCCCCAGACCGGTGGTTTATTTTAGACAGCACGTATTTGCATTGAAGGTGATTGCCCAAGGGCAAAGAAGTTGATTTGGTTGGGGGTGGGAGGAATCTTAGCTATTACACTGGGTCAGGGCCCTCCCAGGGACCATAGTATATATGCAGATACAATTTCGTGGGGATAGGGGGATGATTCGGCTCTTTAGGAGGGTGATAATGAAAAGAAAAAAAAAGGTTGAGGAATACTCATCTAGAGTCAGTTTCTGCTTCTGAGATTGAGATTGTTGATTTTTCCTTCCTGGGGTGTTTTCTCATTTCTGAGGGTCAGAATAAATGGAGACAGCTTTGAGAGATTTCTTAATCCTTTCCCTCTACCCTCCCAACCCGTATCAGTAACATTCCAGATGAAAAACTGATTCTCCTCTCAAAGATCTTTAGGCTCAGAAATTCCACTGCATCCTTTTGTACAACCCACAGACCTGTTTACATCGGAAATCCTTTCATTCAACTTGAGCCAAGCTATCTTTGATTTTCAGCTCACCTTGTCTAGTGTCCCAAGTTAACAAAGATCCAGAGATGATATAGGATGAGTAAGAACATACGAAATGATAGCTTTATTTGCACATAAAATATTTGAAGACTGTTACCAACTGTCCTTCAGTCTTCTTTCCCTGTCATCTCCCATTGGCAGAATTCTCTTGGAAGTCTTGTTGCCCCACTGTGAACATTTCTATACTTCAACCTGAAACCTTCCCAGGGCTCTCCATGGCACTGTGCATTATGGCTGCAACCAGCCGTGAACATATAAGAAACGACTGCATGCTTTCTCCAAACTGTATTGTGTCCTTATCAACTCCTGACTTGATTTTATACATTTATAAATTTCCTTTTTTGTTATATTTGCCCACAGTAAATCCTCCTCTATATTCTCTTCTGCCATTTTGGTTTAGGTTTATCTTCTTGAGCTTCCTTCCTACCTTTAGCATTCTTCCTAAGATTACACTGTGTTGTTTTGTCTTAATCACCTCTTCAATTGGCAAAGCATTAGGGGACTCAGATAGGGTTCCTGTCGTCTTTCTGTGGTGATTATATCAATTAAGCATTCAGGTCATTGATGGAAGCACATCCCTTCCTATGGTCTCTAACCTTTCATCACTTCCACATCCCGTGGGTATCGCACTGTGAGAAAAAGAAATATAGAAACAGTACAGCCATGTTTTCAAGAAATGTGTACAAAGGCAAAATTACTAGAAGGAGTCTGATGTGTCACTCGGATAATACCGTTGTCTTTTGTGCTTTGATCATTTTGGTCCTTGAGGAAATAGGTCATTCTCTCCTAGAATTAGCCAAACAAAGCG